TAATTAGTATGTATTCATCAAATGGCGAGCAAGAATTCTTGAAGTAAGTAATTAATTTATAAGGTTATTTCATACGTATGTTACTTTTATATAACTTATTTACATACCTATTTAATATTAAAATTTATGCAATTATGTAGGAGACCGTGGATAAAATATTAGAAGAGGAGGTTATTAGCCGATAAAGAAAGGTTACTTCATCTCCCGATATTTATATGAACAAGAATTTTAAGAAGACTATTGAAGGAGGAGATAGTAAGGGGAATAGGATATACGGACTTGGGTCACAAGCCTCTCACTATTACTCCAATGTTAGTAAATCATTTAGTTTTGCCACTTCGCGATTCCATGTCCATAATGAGGTGCAGCAAAAGGAAATGGAGGCTCGTGCTATTAGACAAGTAGAAAAGATTGAGCAACTAGAAGGCATTGTTACATCGCTCTTAGCTACCGCAAATGAGTTGAAACAAGTATACTTAGGAGCAACATACGATGATGCAAGTAGATGCAACAGATGTTTCGAATATGTAGCGAGGTAGTTCATCCTCCGAGTAATAACCCTATCGATCGCTTCTAGCTTTTATGTTTTATTTTTCTTGTAATATTAACAAAATTTAAAATTATTTCATAATTTGATGTTTTAATATGTATTTTATTTTATTTTATTTTATTTTTATAATGATTTTGTAATATTTAAAAATCTAAAGTATAATGTTTTCTTTTCTTTTTTCTAGTTTTAAAATTGGAATAGCTTAATTTAAACAAAAAAAATTTAAGAAAATTTCATATAAATTTAGAGACGGTTTCATCTTTATAAATAGTGCTAATTTTGGATAATTTACGATGGTTTTAACAACGATTTTCTAAAACGATCACAAATATGTCCAAAATTAGCAACCAAATTTGGCATCGATTTCTAAAATAGTCACTAATTTATTCAAAATTAGCAATGGTTTATAATAAAAATAGCAACAATTTTTCCATTGCTAAATTAGCGATGGTCTTAAAAAACCATCGCTAAATAATTAGTAAGAAGCTTTTTGAGGACGAGTTTTAGACCATCACAAATCATCGCTAATGATTTTTCAAGAATTAACGATGGTTTAAACTATCGCTAATTCATATTTTTTTAGTAGTGTATTTTAGTAGTCTATGATAGATGTACTATTGCCATTGCAGCAACCAATAAAAAGCTTGGCTTTCACATTTTTCACCGAATCATAAAAAAACTAGAAAAGGAAACATATGCTTTAGTGAGGTTAAGCATGTTGGAAATATATGTAAATCCAAGAAAAGGAAACACATGCTTCTTCTACAATTTTCACTATACCTTCTTGGTTGTGAGTTTGAATCGAATAATCACTTAGAGGGTTGCCCATTGATAAGCTAGCTTTATTTTGAGAAGTCGGGATAGCTCTATTTTGAGAAACAATATTGGAAATACTTGGATGACTTGTAGCTTCAAGAAATTCAAATGTTGCAGGTACATGACTCACATCTTTTTCCTATTTCCATATCGATGTCTCATGAAAGATTAGATCTAGAAAGTACTAGTTAATTCTTTTGTGGATTGAGGAGTTAAAAGCCATTAGATTCATCATGTTATCTAATGAAGACGTGTTTCTCGCCTTTCTCATCAAACTTCTCTCAGCTTTGGGAAGGAATAAGAGCATATGCAATACGAGTCGAAGACTTTAAATTGGTTAACTATAGGTTTGCATTGATGCCAAGCTTCGAATGGTGTGCTATTATGAACTTCTTTTATTGAAGAACGATTGAGAATGTATGCTCGTCATATTGATAACTTTAACCCAAAATTTTTTTGGAAGGCCCTTTGCTTTCAACATGCTCTATGTCATCTTTTCTATTGTACAATTCTTTCATTTTTAACTCTATTTTGTTGAGAGGTGTCCTTCACTATAAGTTGCCTTTGGATTCCATTCTCCCTACAATAATTAAGAAATAGCTTGTATATAAATTCTCCTTCACGATATGTTCTTAGTGTCTTCATCTAACAATTTCTTTGTCTTTCTACAAAAGCTTTGAATTGCAAAAAAGTGGAGAAAACATCCGATTTTTTTTGTGAAAAAAATAAACCCATATCATCCTCATATAGTCATCAACAAAAACAGGAAATATCTCTTGTTACTTAGAGATGGAGTTCAAGTTGGCCCACAAATATCTGCATGTACTAGCTCTAGAGGTGCATTAGCTCTCCAAGCTATCTTTGGAAAGGAAAATCGATGCATCTTCCTATATATGCAACCTTTACACACTCCAATCTTGTTTTAGATGGATGGAAGTCTAACCACTATGTTCTTTTGTTTCAAAAGTTGAAAGCTATTGAAATTCAAGTGGCCATATCTCGGATGCCACAAGTAAAACTCATTAATATGCTTATTTCTAAATGCAACATTCTGAAATGATTTCATGTTTAAAATAAAAATATTGTTTTCACCAATCTTCAAATGCAACATTCTGAAATGATTTCATGTTTAAAATAAAAATATTATTTTCACCAATCTTCACCTCTATTATTTTTTTTATAAGTATTCTTATAAAAAATTTTGTATCTATCATTATCAAAAATTATTTTATAACCTTTCATCATCATTTGTCCAATACTAAAAAGATTTTTACCAATGCTAGGAGAATAAAAAACATCATGAATGCATTTTTCATTACCTTCTTTACTATGGACTATAATAACTCCTCTCCCTTTAATCTTCATGTTCTTGATGTCTCTAAGTTCAATATGAGAGGAAATCACCCGTAATGCAATGACTATAACCGCTATCCAATAACCATACATCTCCATCTTGGTGCTCAACCTTAATGCAAGAATAGAACAGATGATTTTTTTTTCCAAAAAATTAGCTATATTTTTATCTCCATAACTTTCTCCTTTATGCCGGTAATTTCTTTCTAAATGATTAGGATTTTTACATCCGGTGCATTTGAAATAGCAATCTCTAACTTTATGGTCAAACCCTTTGCAAATATTGCAATAATAGGAGCTGCTCGTCAAATCTTTGTTGATGTTGAAATTCGATCTTCCTTTGCTTCTATTTTGATTTTGGCCTCCATGTTCCTTGCCATAGGATTCTCTTCTCTAAAATGAACCTCAATTCTACTCTTGCTACAATCTTGAGGTCTTCCTTTAAAGAAAATTAGTTTTGGTCCGAAAAGCTTGCTCTAATGGTTACTTGTTGTACAAATTCATCATTTGCTCATATGCTTTAAGAGAACCCATTAATTCATGAATTGTAAGTTTTGACTAGTCTTTTGTCTCTTCAATGACAACAACTATATGCTAACATTTTGATGGCAAGCTTCTAAGGACTTTCTCAACAACTTTATTTTTAGAACAACATCACCGTAACTTTTTTATCTAGATGATTTTTGTTGCTTTTGAAGAAAAATTTCTAACAAGCTTATTATCTTCCATTACAAGATTGTCAAATTCTCTCCATAACTTTTGCAACCTTATGGAGTAGCTTTCTCCGAGCCTTTAAATTCATTTTGTAAAATTTCCCATGCTTCTTTTGCTTTCTTAATAGAGAAAATTCTAGGGTAGATAGATTTGTTTACTCCTTGCTAAATGATCCATGGCATTTCTCTTCACATCCTCCATGACTCTTTCTCATTTGCTTCTTCATTTGCTTCTATCCAAGAAGAGGATGATCATGTTTTAGGCCGTTCTCTAAATCCTTCATCCACCAAACTCCAAAAGACTATGATAATAAAGCCACTTGAAGGAAGCCTTTGATGCCGCATTTGTTGGAAATATGTAGAGTCTAAGTGAGTGAAAAATAGAATTTTGATGAAAATACTTAGGTAGAGCTACAACTCAATACCTTTTATATTATCTGAATATTTTCTAATTTAGTACAACACACAAGAGAAGGACTCTATATATACCATTCTAATATTAAATTTTTGATTAAAAAAACCTAAAGTCATAACAAGTTTTTAAGTCTAAAAAGCATGAAAGACTTTCGGAAAATATAAAAGACTTTGACTCAATTAATCCTCAAGTTTGAAAATTACTTTTGCACTTCTTAACAAAGCAATGTGTTGTGTTACAATTCCATCTCCTCTGTTGAGGACTAAAAATTTTCCACTCAATGTAGCTTCTCATCACAGAAAAGAATATAAAGAAAAGAAACCTCAAGATATTGAAAATACATGAAATTAGTGTGGTGCAGATAATTCTCAATCACAGGCTTATAGGTTAGCCACGCATGTTCTCGCAAAAACTTTCCTGGTATTTATGGCCAGGCTATGATGAGACCGGTTGAAATCTGATTAAAATTAGCATGTTTCCCTAGAGCAGAACATTTATTCTAAGATTTTTTCAAATCATTTTCATAACATTGCACTCAGTCCTAATGGATGGAACACGTTAAAATGCTCATGCCAAGTTTTACATAAATTGTTATAATGAAAATTAATCTCATAGACCTAACATAATAGTTAAGATTTTTTATTTTATTTTACAAAGGAGAAAGAAGTACAAAGGCCAACTCCTCTCGGAATGCCGTATGATTATTAATAGTTAAGAAGTAAATCAAGTTTTATGATCCATACGCAAGACATGAATTTTTTCTTTGTTAAAATTTCCTCATAGCTACATTATATTATTTGGTTCCCATTTAAGGAACATACAAGTGGTTCAAAATTTCTCATAAATGCATTGTTTCCGTATTAATGATCTATTACGTGCCGTCTATCGATATTTCATAGGGGGAAAAAAAATTGAGGATATTCTTCGTCACCATTAAAAAAAAAAAAAAAAAAAAGGTGATGAGACGGATGGTTGATGTAAGAATAGTCTCACTTCTAAAAGGGTAAAACTGGCCAGAGGAGATCAGAACCTGAAAATCTGCAGCATAACTTGTTAGTTTTAACTGATTTCTTCTTAGGGCTTAAAGAAACTTTCAAAGACCAACACAAAGTTTCAAACGTTAGACAAAACCTACTTAAAAGGGAAGCGAAAAATGAGTGAAGAAACTAAATCACCAGACTCTAAATCTCTTGAGACCCTACCAGGCATCTTCTTTATCGGATCCTCCAACGTTGGCAAACGCACCCTCGTCTCTAGTAACCGTCTCCCTCTTTCTCTCTGTTCGATTTGTTCTTTGATCATTGATTAATTAATTGATCAATTTTGATTGCAGGGTTGGTGTCACTTGATTCTGAAGACTCATTTGACTTATCAAATCAAGTTTTCTCGCATGGGTTAGTTTCATATCTGCCTTTTTTTTCCCAGTTTTTTTCAAGTTTTTTTTTTTTTTTTTTTTTTTTTTTTTTTTTTTTAAATTATTCTGTAGCAATGGTGCTTACTGGGTTCTTTTTGTTTTTGTGAATAGATGGAATATTAATAATAAGTACTACTCAGCTGATGTTGCTCTATGGATGACTCATCTTCACGAAGGATTTTCAATTGGATCTCTTCCAATTTATAACAAGCTTGCTGCTTTGGTTATGGTTTTTGACTTGAGTGATGTTAGTACTTTAGTTTCTTTATCATATATTTCTGATGGTTTTCATATTGTTTTACGTTGTTTAAATTGGAAGTGATGCAAATGCTGCAATACCCAATTGGTGAAAGCTTTAAAATTTTGAGTTCTAATGGAAATTGTGATTCTTTTTGTTGGTTTTAACGGTTTAAATTGTGAATGCTTCAAAATCCATTTTTTGAGAGTTTCAAGCTTTCAAGCTTTGATGCAAAGTATGCTTCTATATATATATATATATATATATATATATATATATTGCAAATGCTTTAAAACACATTTGGAGAAAGGTTTGAAGTTTCAAGCTTTGATGCAAAGTTATCTTCTTTTGTTGGTTTTTATTTGTTTAATTGTAAAATGTGGCAAACAGGAAAAGTTATAGAGTTTCAAGCTTTGATTTAAAATATGCTTCTTTTGTTGGCATCAAGTGTTTAAATTGCAAATGCTTCAATTCGGGTAAAGCTATAAATTTGCTAGCTATAATGCTAAGTATGGTTTTTCTGTTGAATTATGTGCAGTTAGAATCTTTTGTTGCACTTAAGGATTGGGTGGCTGGAACCGATATTAGCAACTTTGAGATATTGTTGTGTATTGGGAACAAAGTTGATCGGATTCCTGGCCATCCTGTTCATGCTGAATATAGAAAACGGGTAAGGAAAATTGGAGAGTTGGGGTCTTTTGATGATCCGAATATAGAGCTTGATGACTTTGGAATTTCTGAAACTGAAGGAAGTAATTTGTTGGGTGATGAAGAAGAGCCATTGCGGGAGATTAAGAGGTCATGTATTGAATGGTGCACTGAGAATGGCATTGAGTACATTGAAGCTTGTGCTTCCAATGTTGATTTTGACAAATGTGAGTACCATCCTTCTATCTTCAGCTTGATTTAAATAGTTTATAGGGATCTCAAAAGAGATCTATTTCACTACTTTTCCAAACTCTTGATGGATAGAAGTACTCAAATAAATGACATTATGCAATATGTAGTTTTCTCAAGTCACGATCATGATGTTAACAGTAATGTAGAACCTGATGCTTGTCATTCTACCTACCTTTTGATATATCTATCTACCTTTAGGAAGAGAACTTTTTTGATGGCAGTAGTTGAGGTCAGTAATTTGGTAGAATTTCAGTAAGGTCATTCACTCTGCTTTACTAAAACATTTTCTCGCTGATGGATTGAGAATTGAGATTTTGAAGTGAGATAGAAGTAGTAAAAGGACATGACGGGGGCTTTATGAAGATTATCATGGGATTTAGTCATAGATGTAACTGATGAAAGATTAAACAGGAAAGAAACAATAGTTGTAAAGTTGTAACTAATATCAAATCTCTATTTTGCTTTTGATATCTACGAGAATTACAATGTTGTTCTTGCAGGTTTATCAGTTGATGGGGACTCACAAGGAGTAGAACGTCTCTATGGTGCTCTTTCTGCTCATATGTGGCCAGGAATGATCCTGAAATCTGACAATAAGATAACCCAACCAAAGTTACCTGACAAAGAAGGTTAGGCATGCAACCATTACTAAATTCATATTCTTTGTTGTTGATTGATATGCTAAATGAAATGTACTCACACACCCTGTCCAGAAATCTCGGAAGAAGAATCTGATTATGAATTTGATTATGAAGTACTGTCTGCTGGTTCAGCTGAACCATGGGATGACACATATGGAGGATGGGTTTCGGCAAATGGTGCAACTGCCATTCAAGATGTGGGGGGTCAGTTACTGAAAATAATTCTGTCAAAGAATGTGAGAGTGAGAACAGAGAAAAGTTTGATAAAGAGATGCAGCCCTCGTCATCAGCAATGGAATTGCTGGATGATAAGGGAGTGGTGCCTGATGTACATGAACCTTGCGACAATGGAGACTCAGATGAAGTCACACCTTTTGACTTCGAGGATTTAGAACAGTTGTTGTCTGAGATAGGGAATGTGCGTGACAGCTTAAGGTTGATGCCAGATTTCCAAAGGAGGGATTTGGCTGCTAATCTGGCCATGAAAATGGCTGCCATGTTTGGGGGTGGTAGTGATGATGATAATGAGGAAGTTGAATGATCAGATGCATTTGATTGGACCAAGTAGTTTAATCTTTATCCTTTGGAATCTTGTTTGTGGTGATTTTGGGATGGTAATGCTTGGTCCAACCATCTGCAAGGTAAAAGAGATGTACCTACTGAAATTTTTTGTTGATCACTGGATGTCACTCGTTGATTCCCTTTGCAGCTTAAAAAGATAATTACTGAGATGTTCCTTATTTTGTGCTTCATGTTTAGATATTGGGCTTAAGGTGATCTCCCATGCTTGTAGAAGATGCGAGTTCTAGGAGTCTTGTCATTGTAGGAATGGAACCTTTACTATGTAGATTGATATTTCAATACTTGCCTTGAAAAGTTTTGTTGTAACAAGCAGCGAACTAGATGAAAGTTGATATCTATATTCAATATACGCCTCCGCTCATTCATTCGACTCAACTTTTTTGACCTGGGAACTCGCTGTGCAACAATTTGACTCCAACGCCTTAAATTTCATCTGCATATCACGCCTATGTTAGGATGGATTTTGTAGACTTAAAAAGTTTGAAGCTTCTTCGCAGTCAAATAAAGATGGCACACAAGGGAGAAGTTGGATGAGGAGATGCCATCTTGTTATTGGTTAGGGTTTGGTAGGTAAAGTTAGCCAAGTCGCTAAATTGAGTCATAAAGTGAAAACCATATAGATGATGTTGATGGGTCGTGGCATAAGCAATTGAATTCTCTGTATTGTTCCATCCTCACTTATTTGTCTAGGAAGTTGTTGCTCTGTAATTATGCTTTGGGGGAAAAAGACATTGCCTTTCCCTTTCAACCTTTGATGGATCAGATATTTACAATCTTTTTCTTGAAGGATAACCTCGGATTTTGTTGTCGACTATTATGTGAACTTTGAAAAGTAAAGAAGATAGCCAGCTTTCTGCAGGATAAAGAACGATCACTCTTCTCCAACCTCTTTTGGAATATCGCCACTTTGCAACCTTGTATTTATTAAATGGGATAAAATGCTCAAGATAAGGGCTAAGGCATCTACTTTCTGGTTTCTCTCCTGAATTTTTTTTTTTTTACCAATTCACTGTTTTTGTAATGGCCCTCCCAGGATGAAATATAGAAAAAAATGAGTTGGAAGTTTAAGAAACAGGTATTCGAAATAGATGACAAACACGTTATGTATCAAGAAGAAAATAATTTATCAAGAAATTGACAGTGCTGTAAAGTTTGGAAATTAGAATGCAAAAGAAAAATTATTCAAAAAAGATGGATAGCACATGGTAAAGCAAGTGAAAAGGGGTATCAAATACCAATAATCCCTTGACAAACAAAAGTGTGAAAATTTGACTTAAAAGTACCTCTCCTCCATTCCTTCATTGCTAGTGGGAAGTCTTAGATTCCAGCCGCAAAGACACTCAAAAGGGTGATTAAGAACTAATGAGAGATTAAAAAAACTAATGAGTGTTTAGTCCAATAACACTTAATCAAACAGTAGGTCATCAGTCTGAGTGTCGATGACAATGCGAACCTAACTTGGAAATAACTTGGTCCTGTTGTACGAAAACTAATTATGTTCAAATCCTAACCCAGAAAGAACTTAGTCCAGTAGTGCGAAAACTAAGTAAATTACTCCTGCTAACGAGATTTACAGTACAACCAAAGTGGGACAAAATTCTGCTCTCTATATTTGTCAAGGCAAGAAAGTGCTAGCATCATGGGCGTGATTGGTATTACAATTATTGGCATTTCTATCTTCTACAGTGCTCAACTCAATCTCGGTGTCAGCTCCACCATCACAAGAGGCGGAGAAGGAGGAGGAGGAAGCAGGAAACTGACCACATTTCTGACACCTAGCCACCACCAAAATCTGACGACAAGAGGGACAAGAGGAATGAGACCCAAGCCACGTGTCAATGCATACAACATGGAACCCATGAGCACACTGAGGCAAAACCCTCACTTCATCTCCTTCAACAAACTCACCTAAGCAAATTGCACACTCTGTTGATCCAAACTTGGGGGTGGCACCACCACCCTCTCCGCTGCAACCTTCAGCAGAGTAAGTGAACCTGGGGAGCAGCTGGAGGTTCTTCTTCTTCACACCCTTGTTAGCTTTGGCCAGAGACGGTGACCCACCGGCGGCGCCCCCGGTAACACGGCGGATCCAGGCACAACGAGCCACCGCAATAAGCCCCACCACACATATTAATGCACATAGAAGAGCTGCTAATATAACCACAAAGTCCGACTCCACGTTCACCGCCGCTGGTGGCTCAGCCGCCGTGGTGAGGATTCTTGAAACGCGAGCCATGAGTCCTTGAAGTGAAGCAAGAATTGGGTAAGGCAAAAGTATTGGATTCTTGGAATGTTCGTTGAAGTAAATTAAGATTTCAAGAATTGCGTTCTTGATTTCTTTGAGGTTCTTTATTTATAGAGAAAAAATGGAGGGGTGGATTGGGGTTTTCAAGATTTTTAAGGTTTAGTGGGCAGTTTCAGTTTCTATTTTCTATGGGTAGGGAAGATAATGAAGGGGGATGGCTGTAATTAGCATGGAGAAGTAGGAAGCAGGTCCTACATATTCTATTATATGGATAAGGTCCCATCCAAGTTCTTGCTTGGACCAATTTATTAAAATTTCATTTTTTCAATAGCCAATTAGGTTCAGACAACGCTATATTTTGAAATTTGAAATTAAAAGCATAGAAGATATTTTTATTTGATTTGATTTTAATTGTTATAGTATATTTTTGACTCAAAGCTATTTGGCATTTGGCCGTCTTGTTAAATCTAAATTGATGTATTATCGCCCGAATCTAAACAATACAAGTTCAATATATATATATATATATATATATATATATATATATATATATATATATATATATATATTAAAAATAATAATTTCATATGATTAATTCCAGTGAAACATGTATTGTGTAGTAGGCTAGCTATCACTTGATATCAAATTCTATTCCTTTTTTTAGACAAAATTGTTAAAATGTCGGTATTTTGAACTTTTATATATATATATATATATATATATATATATATATATATATATATAATTCTCAACGTATTTAGCTTGTTTTTCACTAAATTAGAATGCCACTAACATGATAATGTTGTTCGTAAGACGTTATCCTATTATCCATAGGGAAAACAAACAAACAAACAAACAAATGCTAAATTTAATCTTGCCATAACAAGGAAAGAGATAAAAAATTGTCTTTTTAAATAAGTTTAACTAGATCGAAAGTGTAAAATGTTATTTTGAATTTTTTAGCAATTAATACAAGGAAGTAGCTTTTCTTTTTCTTCAAATTCTACTATTTTAAGTAACATTTAGTCCAAATTATAAAACATTAACGAGTCAGTCGGCGAATCAAGATACTTATTCAAAGAAAAAAAGGGTGGGAGAAAGTCCTAAGGTTACTTGTGCAATCCTCCATTCACATTAATAATTAATTCTACCTAACAATTTAGATTTCTCAAACTAATTTATCAAAATCAAGCATCCAAATTAAAAAGTTTCAAAATCAAATAATTTATTGACGAGTCATCGATTGACTCAACCAACAAATTTAGGACATGTGATTCAAAATGACGGTGATGATTATCAAGTGACTTTGGAGCGTGATGGAAATTTCTCTTTGCGTTGTATATCTATAAAATAATGCTTTTAGTTGAGTGATGGACACTCTAATATTGAAGTTAGTAGTCAAAAGACGAAGAATTAGTCGTGCTAGTAAATACTAGTTTGTATGCAATTTAGAAGAAAGTTGTATAGGATAACCTTGTATAAAAAGTGTTTGAAGAACTTGTTTTTAAGTTATTTGTGGTTGTGTTTCCTCTTTTCTTGATGCCTCTTTCTTGTGAGATGCCTTCCCTTTATATACGATAGTGGGAGCCTCTAGTATGGTGGAGACGACAGGAGTGCTTTTTTTTTTTTTTTTTTTTCATTTTTGGGCTAGCGAGAGAACCAACAAGTATTGGTACTTTGTCGTCATTGCATTTAATTCTACGATAGTATTAGTATGATCATGATAAGTGGTGATCCGATTGATGTCATCATTAAAGGTTTTTTCATTAAATGCTTTGTTTTTAAGTAATAGTAAAAGAGAGTAGCATCTTTTTTTTTTAGGCTAGAGCGTTGTGAGGCAAGAGGATTCCAAAACCTTCTTTAAGGGGGATGACCTTTTTTGGAAAGAGTTGATGTCTTTTAGGAACTCTAGGCTTGTTTAATGGACTAGTCCCTTTTAGTGGGTCGTGGGCCTTAATTGGACCTAACGAGTTTTGAATTTAGGAGTCCATAGGCTCTTTTTGTAGGATTGTACTCGGGAAAAGGCTCTCCATCATTAGGCCCTTCTATTGGGCTATGTTGTTAAAAACCACTCCATCATTAGTTCCCTTCAAGTCTTGCTAGCTTATTTAGCTTAGACTTGAAAGCTATGAGCTAAGCATTTCAAAAGGTGCTCTCTTTGGTCGAAGGTGACTATCTTTGTTCTCTTGATTGACTTGGCATGACTCTAGTTGGTAAACAATCTTTTCTTTATGAGTCTTGACTATTAGTGTAGGTGCCTAAGATCCAATCATGTTTGAATGAGCTTGAGTTATTATATTATTACATCGTTTATTTTAAAAATAATAAAAAAAGTCTTTCTATTAATTCTTATGCTTTTATGTTTATTAATTTAGTAGAATTAGATAAAAGTCCTTATGATATGCATTTGCAATATTGATTGATCGAAAGATGTAAGATAAACATCAATGCATATAAATGATATCATTAAAAGTCCCAAGTCATAGCATTGTCAAGAATGGACATTGATTATATGCGAATAGACTTGTGAGCGCTATGCTCATGCTATATGATAGCAGTAGAAGATCTCACACCTATTGACATGGTGATGCCAAAGTAAGCACTTAAGCATTTATGTTAGAGAACATATCACAGGACTTGACTCATCATGAGAACCCATTTGGTTTAGTTTATGAGAATCTCATACGAGATGGGTACAACTAGTCCTTAAACTCGAAGTCATCATGGTTATCTCATTAGAGGATTTATGCACTTTGACACTCGTTTTGATGGACCTAGTAAATGGTTGCACGTGGGTGATTCGTTGGGTGCACTAAGAATCTAATAGAGGTAGGTGTATGACTAAAATAGGACATCTCATTCCTTATATGCTAAAACAGCTTATCACATTATACTTCGATGAATATCCGTTTATAAAATCTATAGCCATAGTAGGAGTACACCAAGAGCATAATGGGTTTACTCGAAGAGCTAAGACATTTGAGAATCGAAGAAAACTTATATAATTATAATTGAATAAGAATTATAACCAAGTTCGAAATCACACCGTGATATGTTGACATGAGGATTGAATTATATGGTAACTATGCTCGTGAAAGGTAATAATGGATTAATTAATCCTCTTAGAGAATTAGGTAGTCATGATACTTTGCCGGAGGTCAATCTTGATTTATGTATTAAGAGATAAAAGAGAAGTCTATTATTCCCGATACATTGCCAACATATCTAGGAGCCTATTGAGTTACACGCATAAGTTTAAGCATTCACATGATTAAAGAGAAGTAAAGATATTGGAAAAAGTTTTCAATTTTGAAAGTTTTTTATTTTGGAAAAAGTTTGCAAAAATGAAAAGTTTTCTAAAATGAAAAGTTTCCTTAAATGAAAGATTCCTAAAATGGAAAGTTTCCTATTTTAGAAATCAGTTTCCTAATTTGGAGTTGGTTTCAAATTTGAAAGTAAATAACCTAAAATGAAAATGAGTTTCCTAATTTAGGCTAAAGGGTATTTTGAGAAATTATTTCATGATGTAGGCCGCCTAAAATTATCTAAGATTATTTATTTGGATAGTCCAAATAAATAAATTAGACTAGTAATGGTTTTGGCCCAATAGGTTTAATTAAAATCCTTAAGATATTTTGGTGGAAGGATAAACATCAACCTTCTTGGATAAGGATGAATGTTTTAAGGATAAATATCAACCTTAGTAGATAAAGATGAATGTTTTAAAGATAAAGATCAAAAGCTTACATGTAAAATAACTCCTAATCCTTGAAAGATTAGGAAGCAATAACTATAAGTCAAATTAGGACTTATTTGCCAACCCTCTCCTTATCCTTGGAGGACAGGGAAACTCTCCTCCTATAAATAGAAGGAGATGTGCAGCATAAAGAGAAGTTTTTAAGAGAGGGAACATTTGGCACACTTAGAAAATAAAAAGGGACACACTGCTTGAAATAAAATAAGGAGAAAAATTATTTTTTTGGAGAAATTTTTTTCTCCCTAACCTTAGCGTGCCACCTCTTCTCTCTTCTCCTTGTGTTGTCACAAACTTGTCCAAATAAGATTTCTATAGGAAACACTACACAAATCGGAAAAGGTGGAGCTAGTACTCTATCAATTTTTGAATGCTTCTTTATGGGTTCTTGGATCGTATGGATCATCAATAGAGGCCGAACACTTGGATGACTTTTCTGCTAAAGAATTTAGATCTACGCTACAAGAGATAATTCTTTATTCATTTCCTTAATTCTTGTATATATAGTTAGTTGATTAAATAACATGATCTTGGGCTCTTTAGATGGAGGAAATTTTTTATTTATTTCATAATTTTTGTTTATTTCGTACTTCTATAGGATGCATGATCCTTCATTGACACCTTAAATTCCATGTCTTTAAGTGAGAGGAAGGGAAGCATTTGCATACTTGGTGCCTCTATTGCTGTATATGGCCGTGTTTTCTTATGTTTTCAATGAGAGTAATGATTACCCTTATTAAGAGTCAGCATGTTAAATTTTTTACCTTATATGGCATTGTCACGATAATAAGACTATCTCTTAGATTTAGCTTGTCTTAATTAAAGAAGGAGGCCTTTCTTTGCCTATATATAGGTATTATTATTGAAGTTTTTTATTTGTTTTTGTGTGCTTCAAACTTCACCATAGAAGAATTCTAGTGTGTCATTTGAGTTTTTTAGAAAAAAGTTTCTTTAGCTTTTCTCTTTTCTTTTTATGCTCTTTTTAGAGAATTTCTCTTTGGTAAAGTATTTTTTGTTCTATATTTATATCTATGAGGTAATCCTTCTTTCTTCTTCTTTTTTCCTATTGGATATAAAGATAAATGATTTAGAAAGAGTTAGGGATATGTATAAGAATATACCAATAAAGCTATCAAAGGGGAAAATAGTTCATGTGTTGGTGGGTCTTTCATTGTCTCAAAACAAGTCCTTTTATATTATGGAGAGCCCAAGTTATGTGTCCGATGAGAAACTGGTT